TTATTCTGAACCTTTTCATTTTTTCGAACTTAACTCGCAAGTAAAAATGTTCATTAAAAGTGTAATTTATTGGAAACATCACTGTAGCATTGGAATTTGTATAGCAGCTGCTTTATTAGTGGCGAGTGTTTGGTAGCTATTAAGCTTCCGTGGCTTAATTTTTGTGTGAGACTAATCTCTAGGTCGCTGGTTTGAATCTAAGACGCAGCCTAACTTTTTGCTCTTTCGAGGCTTTTTTTTTAAATTTTCCTATTCATTTTTTGAGTGCTTTTTGTCAAATTGTCTATTTTTCTATTTGGTGCATAGCTTTTTCATTACTCTACAAAAACAGAAGTAATACAGTAACCTACTAAAAGAAAAGCTTATGCGCTGTTATTAGGAGTGATCTTGTACATAGCTTTGGCTTTTTCTTAATATATGCGGCTGCTCTATTTGTGGCTAGTAGTTACAGGCTCTTAAACGATCGTGGACGAGTTTTTGCTGCTTTTTGTCGTGTTTTTTTTTCTGTTTTTGAAGTGCAGCTTCGCCTCTGAAAAATTTGATTTATTTGTGTGAGGGTTTTCTCTCCCTGTCTCTCTTGCTTTTGATTTGTTGAGCGTGAAGTTGTTTTTAAGAGTAATGAAAGTAGTGAAGAATTGAACAAGTCTTACTGATATGTTTTGTTGGTTTTTTTTTCAGGAAAAGTCGTAAAAGTCTCTAATAACTTCAGATGTGCATTCATACATATTGATACATTTATGAATGCACTTAGGTAATTATTCACTTGAATAATTAATGACCTAAGTGCATTCATAAATGTATCAATATCAGTGCCTTAAATAGCGCTCCAAATACGAACGTGGAAACGGCGCGAGAAATCGTTAATGATTTCTAATTTCGAAGTGAATTCAATTTTTAGATTTCTAGCGGAACAAAAACTTTAACTGTTGATCCAATTTTCTCAAGTTGGGTTTATGTTATCAAAAAGCGCCAATCAAAAATTGGTCTAGAAATTTAAAGAGCTTGAAGGGCGTCTATTTTTTTCATTGAAATTCGAAAATCGAGATTTTCCAACAAAGAGTAGTTTTTTAAGTTTTACTTGCCTTCATTACTCTTTTTGAATCTTCGGTTGGCTTTATATTCAATTAAACGAATGAAATTTTTTAAATCATCTTTAAATAACATCTTGAACTTCTGGACTATTTCTTAATGCAAGTTTTAACAATCATGTAATATTTTTTCGACTGAGGACTGGTTGTTTTGTCTGAGTCGTTTCTTTACCAATACATATATTTTATTCATGTCATCGGCAAGTTTTATAGGATTATAAAAATGAGTTTTGGCTCTTTGATCGCTTCACGTCGCATTATAAACTGGCGGTTTCAAAACAGGCCTCCCCTCAGGTACTCCGCTATTAGTTTGCAGCATCAGAGAATTTTTTTCAAGTTTATTTGATAAAGGTATAGATCCGGAATTGTAGATCGTATTGCTATAATCGATTTGTTGAGTGCGCCGCAAAACTATCAGCCAGATCTTTGAAAAAAATACCAAGAATAGTCTCTGTGGCCGATTCAACGCTTACAGACGTGCTGTAGTCGATGAACTATATCCTCAGTTGTCATTTTTTCCTTGTAAACATTGATCAAAAAGAGCCAGCTATTATATGCCTTACCAGCAGAAATGACGAGCTTATAACCGTGATGCCACCACTGGCCTAAGGTTGTGTAATTTTGAGTCATTTCTTGCTTTGGGGATAGGACAGTTTTGAGTTCCTTAAAAGAAGTAAAGATCGAAGTTCTGATACAGGTGTTTACAGAAGCATAGTGTTGGAGGAAACGCCGCTTCTTTATAAAGCTTTTATTCAACAATATCTGAAATCAACATTAACATATAACAAATATATAACATTCATCCCCGCCAAAAGAAAAGTCATTCATAACGCCATACAATTTCATCATCTTCGGGTTTTTCATTTATCTCTGAGCTGCCAACAGTGGAGCCATAAAATTGAGTTTGTTTTCTATTCCGACAACTCGTTCTTCGGCCAACTTGCTCGCTTGGTACTCGCACATCGTTTTTTTGACTGTTGATTGTTTCATCGAATTCCCCGGTCGTTTCCGTGGGTTCAGACGTGTTTGTATCAGATACTTCATTCGGAGGGTTCGGCTCATTAATATCCATTTGTTCACCATCTACTTCCACCGGTTGATCTAAAGGTTCGGAGACTTGAGAACCAATAGCGGGCATACGTGACTCATCTTGTATCGGAGGAACACCCACTCCAGGGGCCAACGAAGAAGTAGATACTGTATCAGTCCTTCCGTTAGGAAATCGTACTCTTGCATAAAAAGGGTTAATTACCTGTTCAATGTTAACTGGAGTCACTAATGGATCGTCCTTGTTGCGGACAAACTTTTTCAAATAAGCGTCGCGGCCTGATGATAACCAAGACGGAAATGAGAAACCAGCACTGCCACGTCTGTCAAAGCGAAATAAACGTGAATGAAGTGTTTCGTTGGTAGCTGAACATACTAACGTTCGGATGGATGCTAGGGCTTGAGGAAGGACATCTTCCCATTTTTCAAGTCCAAGTTGTTGTGAGTGTAAAATGCAGCGAATTGCCGTCCATATCGTACCGTTGAAACGTTCAGTTTGGTCATTTCCACTAGGATGGTACGGAGTTGTACAAGAATGAGAAATGCCGTTTTCATGACAGAACGAATTGAATTCACTGGACACGAATTGTCGCCCTCTGTCTGAATGGATAAATGCCGGAGTTCCGAGCAAAGAGAACAGATTGCGCAAACATGCAAGGACACTACTACTGCTGGTATCTTTAATGGGAAATGCGAAAGGAAAACGACTATACTCGTCAATGACAGTTAGCATGTGCACAGCACCAGACTTGCTAGATGGAGTTTTTGGCCCAACAAGATCAATACCTAAACGTTCAAACGGCTTACTGGCTCGAACAGCAGAACTTCTAACGCTTGATTTATAGAACCGTGGCTTGCACTCTTTGCATGTTGAGCAGCTGTCAATACATTTCTTTACTTCTAGAGAAAAGGCGAGTTTATGCCTCTGAATGTATTCCCAAAAACGGTTTATCCCTGGATGTGCTAACGATTTGAGAGCAATGCGATCTGAGAATCCTGAGCAACAGCTATTCTTGAAAGTGCATCGGCTGAAAGGTTTTGAGAGCCAGGGCGGTAACTTATTTCATACCTATACTGAGATAGCTCCAAACGCCAACGGATCAACTTCTCGTCCTTGATACGAGACTTCTGACGGGAGAAAATGAAAGCAATGGCTTTTTGATCAGTGAGAACCGACGTTGGATAAGATCGTATAAACTGTTCCCATTTTCGGAAAGCTTCCACAACTGCCATCGCTTCAAGTTCGACTGCGGACTGCTTCTGTTCAGCATTAGATAAAGTACGCGAAAAATACGCAATCGGCCTGTCATTCTGCGAAAGTGATGCTCCTATAGCAGAACCAGAGGCATCCGTTTCTATTCTGATTGGAGTTCCATTGCTCTGAGGTATGACAAGCGAAGATTTGGCAATGTCGGCCTTCAATTGCTCAATTGCATCGAGAGCTTTTGGAGAAAGGGGAAAACTTTTGGCACTTTTTGCTTGCAATATCGGCAAGATTTTATTTGTATAATCGCTCACCCATTTTGCATTATAAGCGAAAAAACCTAGAAGTCGGCGCAACTGAACTGCTGTGATAGGAAAAGGATAATTCATCAATGTTTGTAACCTTTCTGGATCAGGTAGCTTTGTCCCGTTCTCAAGTATCTGGCCTAACATAATGATCTTCGTTATACCAAACGAACACTGCGTCCGGGCGTAGAGGGTCTAGCTGTCAGTTCTGTGGGTTGAATGGCAACCACATGCGTAGAAACTGCCCGGCCCGAAATGATTCTTGTCATAAATGTGGCAAAGCAGGTCATTGGGCAGCAGCTTGTAAATCAACTACGGGCCCAAATGACAATAGAAGTGACAAAGACAAAGGCGTGAATGCTGTTTTGTGTTCTTTGTCGTCCGAGACTGCTTTCTTCGATGAAGTTTTTGTTCAGAGTAAACATAAAGTTAAAGCATTAATAGATACTGGTGCTACTGGGTCTTTCGTATGCTCATCTGTTATCGAGCAGTTGAACTTGCCAATGTCTTCTCAGGTCTCGAATACTATGATGGCAAATCGAACCAGTTTGGAGTGTGTGGGATTTTCGACAGTTCCTGTTGAAATTCAAGGCCACAAGTATACTGTCACTTTCAAGTTAGTTGATCGTTTGGTTGCTGACATGATCATAGGGACTGATGTTTTAGGCGAACATACAAGTATCGAATTCAAACCAGGCGGCCACAGACAGCCAATCAGTTTCACAAGACCTTCAGGTTCGCAGTCAGTCGTATCCATGCTATCTGCCATGTTTCCAGCGCTTCAAGTAGAGCCACCAACTCTTTTCTCTGAAAGAACACTCAAGGTAGCCGAGCCTGTCCGAACGAAGTCACGTTTCTCATCACGATTTATGGACAAGGAAGTAGAAAGACTCTTGGCGTCAGGAATAATTGAAGTTTCGCATTCACCATGGCGTGCGCAGGCTTTCGTTGTTAAAGGCAACAATTGCAAGCCCAGAATGGTAATTGATTACTCAGAAACTATCAATAAGTATACAGAAGTCGACGCGTATCCTTTCTCTGATCCTGATTCTATGATTGATGAAGCAGCTGAATGGAAGGTTTTCTCCAAAATTGATTTGAAATCAGCTTACCATCAAATTGAAATTCGGGAAAGTGATAAACCTCTAACGTCGTTCGAAGTCAATGGGAAACTTTATCAGTTTTGTCGCTTACCATTCGGAATAACGAATGCAGTACCTGTTTTCCAGAGGTGCATGGACTCTATAATTAGTGAACATAAGTTATTAAAGACGAAAGCCTATCTTGACGATGTGATAATGGGAGGCAACGATAAAGAAGAGCATGACCAAAACCTGCACAAATTTTTAGCCTAATTGTTGTGATAAACTTATTAAATAGATATTGTTGGAGGAAACGCCGCTTCTTTATAAAGCTTTTATTCAACAATATCTGAAATCAACATTAACGTATAAAAAATATATAACACATAGCTTGTGCTGTTGTATGATACTTCTTTTTTTCCAACCTAAGTCGCAAATTTTGTTGCGATGCAATTGTTGCGATAAAATGTGTTCATGTTGATCCAGCTATTAAGTACCGCCAATGCTAAGGATATTAACACAAACTATTATATTACAAATAGCTTTTTAGCTTCAAGGCATCATGGATCTGTAGCGTAGAGGTAGGGAAGGGGATCAGCAGCAAAATAAAAGGGTTCGAAACTTTGGCAGGGTTTGATGTTTTTAATAAATTTTCGTATACTAGTTTAAATGCGTCCGCTCTATAAATTGAGTCATGTTACTGGGTATATTTCTTTTTTCAAATTGACTGGTACTGCTAATGAGTCTTAAATGGCTTGCGCCACTTAGCAATTAAGTAGACTCATAATTGGCGGGCGTCACTTATGAAATTTTGTAGAAAGTGTTCCTCATTCAGTTTTTCCCAGTAGCGTTATTGATCATACTTTTGCTTGTGTATGAAAAGTGCCGTATTTGCTCTTTTGTGTAAATATGAAGAACAGGCTCTGCGTATTTTTTAGCAATGCTTGTGAGGACCAACTTATCGTGGCAAAAAAAAACAGTTTAATAATTCTTCGTGAGTGAATGGCAGACCCGGTGAAATGTAAATTGGGGCAATTAGCAGGTAGTACTGATGAGACGCACTAGCTTCTCATAAATCAAGCAGATGCAGATACCGGCAAAAAAATTATGGTATTGGTGCAATTGAATGTTTTCTCCGGATTTTTGAGACTGCTACTTGCCCAAGGTGTTCTTTTTTTGTCATTTGTTGTTTGCTGAAAGTAGTCATATGGCAAAAAAATTAAATCGAAAATACGATTGTTTTAGCTATAACTAGCATCATCATGCATCAAATAGTTCTAAGTTCAACTAGCATCAAATAGTCCAAGTTCAACTAATATATTTTTCTCATTTTGTCTATTTTGATTGGAATAAATGAAACGCGAATTAAGCTGACATGCACAGTGCCAGACAAATGTTTCAGTATGAGCTCTCGGCTCCTGTAATCGTCGGGTGTGTTCAGTTGGCTTGCGTTTACTTAAATCAGGAGCTTCCAATGTTAATTTTTCAACGTCATTGCTTTTTTAAACTAATTGCCATTCAAATATCTTAGATTGTCAACAGCATTCTGTGACATGCTGTCCTCTCGGCTTAACATTCTTTTGGTGCTCTGTTATCCGTGTCGCTCGATGTCGATACTTTTGTCCAATATTGGAGGAACTCCATCCTTTACATTTGATTTCATTCATAACAGAAGACTTCAGGTTGTTATCAAAAATTGACTTAAGCGACCGCAGGCAAGTTTTCATTTTACGCGTTGTGAAATTGACTAGCAACGGGCTTGACCTCTGAAGTTTTTCGTTTATTTTTAAAGTTAAAGTTTCCTGGGTACTATAAGAAAAACTTCATCTCAATTTTGTGGCAACTCGTTTGAAGTGTTGCTTTCTGTGAAAGTTTTGATGTTTCATTTAGGATTTTTTCCATTGAGTTATATACCGTTTTTGATTTCAAGGATTCTGGGTACTGATGTTGTCTCGAAGTTTTCTCTCGTTAATTTTTAATGCTTCGTCAAAATTTTTCCACTTACTGGTACTTCAAAGCAACCATGGTATTGTTCCGTCAACAATTTTTTGCTGCTTGAGGGATGCGGAACTAAGAAAAAGTAAAATGGTTTCAGTATGAGTTGGTTTTCGATACGATTTGCAAGTAACATCATGTTGATTTACTACTTTGTGCTTGTCCAAAAAAGCAAATTGACCGATCTCGCTAGCTTTTCTATCTAAATTCTTCTGTAATGATTTTTCTCTGTCAGGTAAAATTTGTTCGTCGGCTATTACAGTACCAATTTTTTTTTCGTAAATTTATCTTTCGAGCTATTTTTGTTGATTATTAGAAGTCGCAAGTACTTAGAAGTACTTAGAAGTAATTAGAACTCGCAAGACTGTCTGAGAGATTACAACAGAGTTCATATTACCATACTCTATCACCGATATTTTTGGTAATCGTTGTAAGTTATGTTTTGACATTAGGCATGACACCAGTTTTCTCATTTTTATCATTCAACCCAACTGTTCCAAAAAGTTTTACTGCATTTGGGATGTTTTTCAGTTGGTTTTTTTCTTTTTGCTGTATTCAATCGTTTTTTTCTTGAAGTACTGAATGATTGCATCCAAATGTTAGCCAATATTACTGCCTATGGTTGGCAAATTGTATAATATTTTCGAAATCAACAAACTTACGGTTAACTATTGAAAAATAACATGTTATTTACGTTAAATTTTTAAATAATTCAACACATTAAGACGCATTAAGTTTCTGGAAGATAAACGCCAGTTTTTCAGCTTCCTCGACGGCAAGTTGGGCTCTGAGTTTCCCATACGTGAATACATCACGTCGATTAGATTCAAAAATAAACCAAAAATCCCGAACTGAAAAAAATCAGCACACATGAAAATTCATATTCCCCCGCAGCGGAATGATATCAATCTGAAAAACAGTTGCATGAGGAGTGTTTTTTAAAAGAAATATCCACATTTCTAAGAAATAGCTAGTATCACAGTGGTTGATTGTCGCTCAGTTTAAAATGACAAGAGCTTAGACAGAAGTTTAATTAATGATCGATATGTTCTTCAACCAATAGCTTTTTAAATTCAGGGTTGCGCTGGCCCTTGCACAGAGTTTTTAAATTAAACTCTGTAAGAACTTGAGCATATGCACCGAGGAACCAAGGGCAGCTTGATTGTTTAAGCAGATAATCTCCCTTGCAATACAGGATGCGAACTCTGAGTGTGCACTCGGCACTAGTAATGATAATTTTTTTTGTAGAGCAAAGGGAACGAAAGCTCAGCTTGGTATAATTATCTGATAGCGTCATATCAGGTCAATCTTGTCGTGCTTCTGTCAACTCTTGTTCATTCTGTGCAGGTTTTAATTTTCTCAATCTGCTTGGCGTGATTCCCAACCATCTGAATCTCTTCACTTTCATTCAAGTTAAACTGTACCTTCCGTAAATTATGGAATTCAATTCGTTGAATGACTGGTTGAAATGATGAAAGACTACTGTAGTAATTTTGGCTACTATGATATTTTCTGACCTTCTGATTTATCCCTCAAACGCGGAAATGCCCCAGATTTGAAAAAAAACGTGGATGGTCCAATTTCTGTCGGATGTCAGATCTCTTCTTCACTTTTGATCGCTTGAGGACAAATGAAGCTGCAATAAACTAAAGTCAGTGGAGAGGACTGATTAGAAACGCTATGGGGGCTGCGGCATTTGGATTCGGGGCCTGATTGCAGATAGCAAACGTAGATTAGTCTCGAGCGAGTTTGTTTTCTTTCAAATAACAATGTACTTTTTCAAATTTTTTCAGCATCCATAGAAAAATCAGATGTTTTGTTTCTGGCCCTAAATATTGGCTTTTTAATCTGAAGGTAATCAGAGGGTAACATAAATTACATCACCCGTCCTTCGTCAGATACTCAATTATAAAACCTAGGTTTTTTCCGGCCGAATATAGCAAACTCGGAAACTGAAACAGTTTTAACAAATTGCTTAACGTTTTTCCAATTTTCTTTGGGCTATCTTTCCTTTTGTTTGTAGACGAGAAAAATAATCCTTCAATGTTTCCATTTTTGAGATAGGAGATGCTTTCCTGAGATTATGACTGTACCATCACTTAATCTGACCACTGCTGCTGCTTATCGGCCATCGTACCAGGACTACCTCAGCAAGTCGAGGCAGAATGAGCACGAAAATCGAGCGAGATGGGATGAAACATCCAAGTATTTTCAGAACAACCAAATACGATGTACCAAAAATAGTCAGTGGGGAAGTGAACATTCGTTCCATCAAAGCTTGGAGTCTTTCGCCACTGAACAGTACGAGGATTTGAACAAGGTTATTACGAGCAATTAAACAGACTATTTAGTTAAATATTCTTACTAAATTCACTTATTCTTCCGACCTTTTACGAATAGTTTTTGACGAAAATTTTTTATGTCAATTTTTTTAGACAACAAAATCTTTCTGCAATCTGAAAGATAAGAATTTCCTGAGCTCAACATACAAAAAGATATTTTAAAATTTAACTTATGGTTATTTACACTAGCGGCGAACTTAAGTGAGAGAGTTAGTGTTATACTACGACTATTCTTTTTTTTCTAACCAAGGTTGCAAATATTGGTAGCTCTTTTGGTGGCACTATTACGGCTTTTTGATAGCATGTGCTTTGACATTTGAATATTAATGAGTTAACACAGTTGATGCTTTTGTAATTCATCAAATGAACTGAAAAAAAAGCTACTTCTTTCAATCAATATAACAATTTAAAAAAATTGATTTTATAAACTCAATATACCTAGCATTTTTTTGAAATGCGTAATTTATACGTAATCTGGCATTATCCTTCCAAATTATTTTTTTACATGCAAAGTTAGTGCGAATGCCTTCAGTTTCTTATATTGCAAGTTATTACTTGCAAAATTGTGTCTGTTTTTATTTGATGCCACTTAAATGCACCGGTTGGGATTTTTATTAGCATATGTAGCTCCTTTATTTGTTGTTTGTGTTTACCGATTGGTAAGCGTTCGTAGGCTAGAGGGCAGGATGTGAAGTTACAATTTTTGTGGTCACAGGTTCGAAGACAATGGATAGCAAATCTTACTAGTATGAGGCTTCTGTTTGTTATATATTTCCTTTTATAAAGCTGCTTTTTTGTCGTGTTCTCGCTATTGTTTGTGAAGCGCAGCTTCGGCTCTGTGATAAAATTTTTGACGATGTGGAGGAAAGAGGTGGTAGGTCTTATATTTTGTCGACTTAGTTGCCACATCTTAGTTGTTTTTTTTTTTGCTGTTTTCCAGTTAAATTGTAATTGTTTTTAGTGTGCTGCTTTTTTTCTGCTGTTTGCAAGTTTACTAACCTTGACTTCTTATTTTTTGCTTTTTTTATCGCTTAAAAATTTAGTTCTACCCAATTGGTTTCGGCATATATTTTATTGACTTTGAGTCCTATTTTTTTAATCGTTTCAGAGGAAACGTAATTTTTATGCTCACCTCTACATTGCACAAAATGCTAAAAGTCTCTATAGAAATAATAGATTTTCATAGCAGTAATTTTCTTTTCGTTTTTTTTCCCGCTTGATAGGTATCGACTTAAATAAATCGGCTTACTGGTCATATATTGAGTCTTCTGTCGCGCGAAAAGTTTTTATGTGCGTGTGTCTGTTTTTAGGACTAGGCTTTTTTGTTTTTATTTTTTCGGCTTAATAGGTTTCAGCTCATGTTGTAATCGGCATAGTGGCCTCATAATGTTTCACATGACGAGTAAATTGAGTTTTTTTTTTGTGTGTGTGTGTGTTTGAGGGTGATGGGGACTTATTTATTTTTTATATCAAGTCTTGTTGATTTATTTTTCATCTCAATCTTGTTGCTTTTTTTTAGTGCAAAGGGTTTTTGCTAAGAAATTTTCGGCTTTGTTACCGCTTGGTAAGTTTTTCTACAATCCCAATTTCACATTCTATTGTTTTTGAAAACTAGTGTTATCATTTTGATAGTTCGATTTATGGCTTTCTTGATTTTGTATTGCAAGTAGTGCAAAGCTCAGCTTCGTCTCTGTGAAAACTCTCTAGAAGGTGAACATAAAGTGATGTTCGTTCAATTTCGTCCAAAAGTAGACATTTCGAACTAATTTTCTCAGCACAAAATGTTAAAAGGGTTTAAAATAGGTTTATCTGTCAGAATAAAATATTTAGCGGTCCTAATTGAAAGGGTTAACAAAAATATGACGATAAATCATTCAACTCAATCTAAAATATATTTGTGGGGCTTCAGTTTTCAACAAACAAATTTACAAATTCCTGAATTTACAAATTTCTGAAAAACTTTCTGCATTAAATTCAAATTTGTTTACTGAAAGGAAGGCAAATTAAGCTCTCCATTTACAAAAACAAAAATTCTTCGTGCAACATAAAACGTTGATAGCTGTGCTAAAGTATTTAACTGTTATGCGTGGTAAGTAAAATCGACTGTTCAGTACAATTTTTCACCGTTGGGAAAACTACTGTTTTTAGACCAGAAATAACTAAATGTTGATAGTTAATATTTATGTGTTTCTTCATGTAAATATTTTTCCAATTTATTGAAAGTTCTATGTTAGCGCTTAACTTTGTCCACTAGTAAAAGTTTCAGAATTCCCTGCGGAATAAAAGCACCCATTGACACGGACTCTCTAAATGGATAAGATGATGGAAAAAATCGGTGACGAAAGTTCTTGCAATGCACAGAGAATTAAAGCGGTAGATATTTTTTCCGGAACTAGAAAGTTCAAAAAATTCCGATTAGGTTGAGCTTATCAAGAGAACGCAGTCATGGAATTTTGAACAATTTTTTCAAAGTTACAAGCTGTTTTATTTACAGGACAGATTGGCCCTTAGGAGAAGACTACTCAAACAGCTGCTGGTCGAAGAAGACAAGCTGTTTTACACGGAATTGAACAATTACAACATACAAATTACTGATAGAGGCTACCAAGATTACCTGGAGACTACTCGTACAGCGAACACTGGATACACAAATAGAACTCAGCGAACAGCGCCCAATACACCTCAAACGGGAAAGATAGATAGTATGCGGCGCCGGGTTGAGGAGTTGCAAAGTGCCAGAGAGGAGAAGCGACGCCAGATTGCTGAAGCGAAAATTCATCAGCATTGGCGCGAGAACAATCCCGACATCCGCGCTTTGGAGTTGGAGCAACATCAGAAGCATGTTGTGGACCAGTGGCAAGATCAGGTGGAAGACAGAAGTCAGCAGAGATTGAACGAGGAGATATATAACAGGGAACAGGACAGACTCATGGAAGAGGCCAGGCAAAACGCCCTGGCACTGGTAATTTGTGTTTATTTCTTAAAACAACGATTAATTTATTTATTTTCTTAAAACAACGATTTTATTAATAAGAACGATTTTGAGAAAAAATGAGAGGATAAAAAGGAAACACAAATTGAAGTGATTGGAAGGAAAATATCGAGTACTGTTTGATTTACACAGTACAAACATTCACTTCCGGTACACGTAGGTCAAGTCTCAGTTCGATGAAAATTCCCAATTTAAAAAACCAAATAAAGAGTTTTATTAGGTTAGAAGTTTTTCAATTTATTCGTTACGCGAAAACTGTTTGTCTTGATGTGATTTTGACAATTTATCTCACTCTGATGTTCAAACAATTGCCCATATTCTGTATATTTAAGGATTTGTATATTTGAAGTAATAACGACATCGTTGAATTTGTTTTTGCTATTAAGTAACTTGCTTTCTTATTTTTGTTTGTTAATATCCTCGGAGGTCTATTAGGGCTTGATATTTCTGGCCTTCTGAACCCTAAGTTTTTGGTTTTAAATCGATGCTTGGACTTGTTCAATGGTTACTGCCGCCTGAGCGCAGTTAGGTGCCGAACGTCCATATAGCCTCCATCCAGTTCTATTGGTAGTAGAGAGGCTTTAGAGACGAGGTACAGTTGGTGGAAGCGGTCACCGCTTAGTGAACAAGCTCAAATTTTGCTTTTAAACCGAATAAGGAGGGTTACGACAAGCGAGTTTCAGAATTATTCTGCGCTTGAAATCAAATTTTTCGATTGTTTTATTAATTTTTTTGAATATTGGACATTATAACCACCTTTATTTAGGTAGACATTCGTGAATAATTTAAAGGTCTGCAATAGAGGTGCCGTATGCATATCTCGGCAAAGTTTTTGATCTTTTGTGCTCTTCTTTTCATTTAGTTGGTTGTTTATAACGATTGTTACGATAATTTTTCGTCATTTTTACAACATTAAAAACGATTTGGGTTGTCACCTGCGTCTGTAAATTCAGGGCGGCATCTAGCAACCGATATGGGTTGTTCAGATTTATAATTGCTACGATGAGAAATAAATTCTTCTTATGCGCAATATGAACTCATAGAAATTTTTTAGCAATAACATAGTTTGATTTAGATGGCCGAAGAAGAAGCTAGACGAAGAGAGGAGCAGAAGAATTTGGGCAGTGATTTGGTGCAACAGATGGAGGAGCTGAAACTACGCGAACAAGAAGCACAGCAGATGCGACTAGAACAGGAACAGCTGCTGCAGGAACAGTGGAAACTACAGGAACTAGAAGGTCAACGAGCTGCTCTGGAGAAACAAAGAGCCGGATTCGAACTGGGACGCTTTTTGTTGCAACAATATAGAACACAGCTTAGAAGACGATTCGAGCAGCATAAGGTTGAACGTCAGCAAGACATCGAAATCCTCGAGAACTTATTCAGAATGCAACAAAGCGAGGATGTTGAGCGAACTGAGTTGCAGAAAGCGAGGTTCCAAGAGATACAGGAGGCATTGCAAATGGCAAGGCAAAAGCAGCAGAAAGACGTGGAGGCTGAAAAAGAGTTGGATCTGATTTACAGAGACGAGGCAGAAAGACTGTGGCGTAAACGTGAAGCGGAGTGGGCTGCGGAGCAAGCGGCGAGAGCGAATTTGTTGCAGGCGGTTTTGAACGAACGAGCGCAACAAGTGGATGAGAAATTGAGCAGACTAGAAGTAGCGAAGAGAGAAAACATGGAGGAGCGTGAGAAGGCGATTCGTGAGATGCAAATTCTGAGAATGGAGGCAGAGGCCGAGGAGTTGGAGAAAGAAGAGGTGAAGGTGGCGAGGAAAGAGGACCTTGAGGCAGCCATCACTGCGAGAAGAGAAGCAGCGATATCTGCAAGAATTGAATTGCAACAAGAATTGGAACGACAGAAGCAGCAAGAACAAGAAATGAAAGGTGAGTGAAAATGGGAAAGCTACATGAAAGGGCTAATTTGGAGTTGTCCAGTTGGGATTTTCAAATAAAAATTGGTGGTTTTTTTAAACAATTTTAGGCGTATCCCATAATTTATTAAATAATTGTGTATTTTGATCTAGCTCAATCAAATTTACTGTCCCAGCTCTCAAAACACTATATGAGACTCTGATCTGCCATAAAAACTTCTACATGCAATGTTTTGTGATCATATGTGTTCTACTTTTGCAATATATGCCAAGACAAGACCTGTGTTGTAAATGGAAGTAGTGTAATAGTTCCTGAATAATAGAGCTCACGAGAAAAAGTAGAATTCACCCCATTTTTTGCACCCGGAAAAAGACGTTCGGTTACCGAAACAACAGGTCGGTAAAGGAATAAAATAGGCGTATTAGTTATCCGATATGATTCGTGTTATCTTTCAGAGCTGGTCGAGGAAGAGCGCAGAGTGATCACTCAACGGGGATACCAACCGAAGACATATGCCAAGCTGAAGACACCGAATGTCATGAACGGCGGAGAACTGGAAGACCTCGAAACACTCAGGAGTCCGCACGCGAATGACGTCATAGACACACCGACTGGTGGGGGACGAAGACGACCTCAAAGCAACTCACAGCAACGCCACTTTGTCAACAATATATGGGACACAGGGAAGAATCCGTGATGAATCGTTGTCGCTTCGTATCATATTTTCGCAATTGAACCCCCTAATAAGAATTCACATATCAGTAATAAGAGAGCACTCCAATCCTTGCCTTATTCTTAAAGGACACTCGAAAGAAAGTTATCCGACAGTGTATATCAGGATATATATCATCAGAGGCCTGCCATTTTTCTGGATTTGATATAGAGATTAGTTGCATTGTAGGCCTTCAGTAGAAACTGTTAAACTGACGGAATATTATGCTGGTTAGTTGGTGTTTTTGCATACCTCCTCTGAAGGTTATTTGAAATTACTAATTAGTATTATCATAAATGTGAATAATGCCACTTGATAGATTCTAGATCTGAATTGAAACTATTTGTACAATTATTTTCTAATTGAGAGGTTATTGAAATTTTCGCAGACTAGTATCTGACTCGTTTCTGAATTAAAATCAGTGATCGATGAAATTCAGCGAGGCAGCACCAAATATGCTAGAGAAGACAGAAACTTTTCTCAAGTTCCAATGAACATAGTGAAGACACTTAAATCGGTCGTAATTTTTTTTCCGTTAATTCGATCTTTCTACTTTTGGCACCACCAATAATCTCCGGAAATAATTTTGGCACTACAAATACTCATCATTAATGCGATCTTTTGCCGTTTGAATTTTAATTACCTTAAATAAACTCCACAAATTAAACAAATAATCATCGGAATGGGTCGTGTGGTGTATCATATTGGAACGCTCTCAGTCGTGATTCGAACGAAATTGAAAATTTTCCAAAATAGTTTCTAAGTGTTGAGGAAAACCAGTTTCATTTTTTTTTTCACTCGAAATTAGACTTGAAAAAACGAGCGAGCAGGCTCATTATAGAAGGACAAGCCGGGTGCTACTTTTTTCAAGTCCTGAAAACTTGGTTATACTCCAGTAAAAATTAGTTTTTGAAGTCTTTATAGCGCCATCTTTGGAATAAAAAAATACCCAGTCGATCACTGACATAATTATATCAACGTGAGCCCCTTACGTAGTCCAACAAACTTTAAGAAGGGTATATTCGCCAAAAAAAATTGCAAACCGTTTGAAAATTGTTTTTAAACAAAAAGTTGGTATTTTATATAGAAAAAACTACCTTTTTTGTCTATCAAACAAAAATAAACTAATTTATAGAAAGTTTCGGACAATATAGCCTTCTTAAAGTTTGTAAGACTACGTAAGAGGCTCACTTTGGTGTAACTTAGGTCTGTGATCGACTTGGTATTTTTGGCGTAATTTTTGATTAACTAAGAAAAGCCAAATTGACCCATTTTTGGGGTAAAATTTTGGGCCCGAATTTCGCAAAACAAATTACACCATATGAATTCTGCTAAGTTTTCAGCAAGTTTTGTCTTCATAAGTTTTAACCTAAACTCAACCCAATTTGAGAAAAACTTGTTTTAAATTTCAAGTTTAGCTCGTTTTGTCCGGTTAATTTAAATCAGCACTGTATATTTGGTCATTTTTTAGCCTACTCAACTCTCACATTTAAGTGCAAAGCTTATGCGCTTATTAAAGAGTTTATGATTTAGCTAGCACCGCTATTATTAAGCGAATCATTAGCTGCCTGATGATTGCTGTATCCGTGAAAGTAGTTCAAGGCTAGGATCCATGACAAAGTGGTGCATACAAGAGACATAGCCATGTATTGCCCCGTAGTATTAACCTATTGCATAATCAGATGCATACCTCACTATAACGCCACGCTTGAGCTTTTCAACTTACAATTTTTTGTATGTTTAATGGTAAAGGTTTAGCAAATTTTCCCAACATGCTAGTGCGTTTCTCAACATGTGTTCACTTTCATCTATATATCGGCTTCATTCAACACATGCTTGTTTTTTTTCTCTGCGTTCAATATAACTTTCTGCTTCAAGAACCCCCTATAGAGTTGCGACTTGAAATTGAATATGTCAAGTTTCTTAACTTTTTAAAATTCGTAGTATTATTTAAAATTTCTTATTTTTTTTTCTAATCTATTATCCATCAATCTCTCTATCATCTATCTATTATATATTTAAATACGGGCTTCCTTATCTCGGCTTGTTGAAGCTTTTTCAACGTGTTATTCCTGCATGCTTAACGAAAGAATTTTTGCACGTTTAAGCTATATCATATATTGCAATGCTTAAGAAGCTGAAATGATTTCGCCAATTTGAAATTAGAAACCCAAAAGTGGGATGCTGAGTGGGTTCCCCCAGCGGTTTTCCAGCTGAAATTATTTCGCCAAATTTGAAATTCGCAACCCAAAAGTGGGATGCTGAGTGGGTTCCTTCCCCCAGCGGTTTTTCCAGCTGAAATGATTTCGCCAAATTTGAAATTAGCAACCCAAAAGTGGGATGCTGAGTGGGTTCCCCCAGCGGATGCAAATTGGGCCTCCAAATGTTAATACCCAAATTTTTAGTTACGAGTTACGACTATTCTTGTGATTTTTTCGAAAATTTTCTTAAAACTTAGATTTAAAAAATTTCACAAAATAAGAAATTCTCAATCCTGAAGTTAGGTGCTGTCAAAATACTCTCAGGGGTTGCAAATTTGGCCTCAAAATATGACTGCTCAAGTCCGTGTAATTTCCGAGATGTGACATTTTTCAATGATTTTTCAAAAGTTTCAAAGAATTGATATAAAAAATTTTTTACGAAAAGTGAAATTCTCAAACCTGTAGTTGCGTGATTTCAGTGTAATTTCAAGGGTTGCAAATTTTGCCTCAAAATATAACTGCTCAAATCTTTTAATTTCCGAGATATGACCCTTTTTTCTGATTTTTTTTCCAAAATTTTTCATAGAATGTGATATGAAAAATTTGACAAAAATTCAAACTTCTCTGAAGTTTGAGGTGCTTTTAGGGTTTTCTTAAGCGTTGCAAATCTTGCATCCAAATGTGATTGCTCATTTTTTTAAGTTTCCGAACCTCAAAAAATTAGACGTAAAAAACTTATTAAGTATTTAAGTATTGATATTGCCAATCCTGTAGTCAGGTGCTTTCGGGGTATTCGCATGAGTTGCAAATCTTGCCTCCAAATGGTCTGCTCATTTTCTTTTGGTTTCTGAGATATGACGTTTTTTCAAAATGTTTCAAAAAAACTTGAATAAAAAAAAACATTTAAAAGTTTGAAACTCCCAGCCTCATATAGGAGTGGTCCCGGGTTAGTCTCAAAGGTTGCAGATCTTGGCTCCAAAATTGAATGCTCAAATCATCTGACTTTCTGAGATATGCCGTTTCTTATTGTTTTTCAAAATTTAGGTTCAAAAAAAAGTTTAAAAAATATTCAACGCTATGGCGGGCGGGTCTACGGTAGTCTCAGGATTTTTATCTGCCCTCGAAATTTGACTGATCAGCACCTTTTTTTTAGATATGACGTTTTTATCTTTTTTGAAATTTTTCAAAAGTTTTAAATTTCAAAAAAGTATACTTTTCAAATTTGAAATTGTTGACCCTTTGGTGGAGAGAGATGTCTACCAGCGGATGTAGATGTGGCCTTCCATCCTGATATTTTTTCTACATTTTTATTTCAATTTTTGCGTTTTTATGATATTTCAACTTGTTTCATTAAATTTACAATTATTTCAAGAAACTTAAATGCGCTCGATTATGAATCTCATTTAAAAATCGGTTGATTTTGCAAATAAATTGTTTCAACATTTTTACAAATATGGAAAGATAAGTGGTATGCTGCCGGCCATTTTAGGAGTGTCGGCCATGAAGTTGGCCAATTTTGAAATAAAAATACGAAGATCTGAACGCAGTAGTTTTGGGGATTTGACCATTTTAGTTTACAAAATCCATTAGATGAATTTGTTTTTATTGTTCGAAATTTGAAATCAAAAGAGTTGTTGAATTCCCCCTTCTATTGTAACAGTTGCATGCTTTTCGTTATTTTTTTCTCTATATAACTTATATAAATACAAAGTTCACGTTCACTAGTCTATTTGAAGCACAGGAGGTGCGTTACTCGCTAGTAATATCCAATATCTATCGATCTATTTATCGATATGTTTATCTATCCTTCTATTCATTGATCGATCGATCTAACGATAAATGTATCAAGCTATCTTTTTTATCTATCTGTCTATCTATCTTTCTATCTATTTATCTATCTGTCTATCATTCTACTTATCTTTCTATCTAACTATCTTTCTATCTATCTGTCTGTATATCTTAATATGTCCTTATCTCCATCTATCTATCTGTCTGTCTGGCTGTTTATCTGTCTGTCTGTCTGTCTGTCTATCTATCTATCTATCTATCTATCTATCTATCTATCTTAGATCTTCTTATCTGTCTGTCTATCCATCCTTTCATCTATCAATCTATTATTCTATCTATATACGTAATATTCTATCTTCCTATCTATTTATCTATCTATCTATCTATCTGTCTATATATCTTTCTATCTGTTTGTCTGTCTATCTATCTATGTGTTTATCTATCCACCTTTCTGTCTATCTAGTCATCTATCTATCTATCTATCTATTATCTATATATCTATCTCTCGTTCTACTTGTGATATCCTATCCTATCTGCCTGTCTATCTATTCATTCATCTATCTATCTATCTCTATCTATTCATCTATCTATCTTTCTTTCTTTCTATCTTTCTATCCTTCTATCTATCTAACTAGTTATCTTTCTATCTATCTATCTGTTTGTATGTCTATCTATCTATGTGTTTATCTATCTATCTTTCTATCTATCTAGTCATTTATCTATCTAGTCATCTATCTATCTAGTCATCTATCTATCTATCTATCTATCTATCTATCTATCTATCTATCTATCTGTCTATCCATCTATATATCTATCTCTCGTTCTACTTGACATATCCTATCCTATTTGCCTGTCTATCTACCCATTCATCTATCTATCTATCTATCTCTATCTATCTATCTATCTATCTATCTATCTATCTATCTATCTATCTATCTATCTATCTATCATTCTATCTATCTATCTATCTATCTATCTGTCTATCCATCTATATATCTATCTCTCGTTCTATTTGTCATATCCTATCCTATCTGCCTGTCTATCTATCCATTCATCTATCTATCTATCTATCTCTATCTATCTATCTATCTATCTATCTATCTATCTATCTATCTATCTATCTATCTATCTATCTATCTATCTGTCTATCCATCTATATATCTATCTCTCGTTCTACTTGTCATATCCTATCCTATCTGCCTGTCTATCTATCCATTCATCTATCTATCTATCTATCTATCTATCTCTATCTAGTCATCTATCTATCTAGTCATCTATCTATCTATCTATCTATCTATCTATCTATCTATATATCTATCTATCTATCTGTCTATCCATCTATATATCTATCTCTCGTTCTAC